AAACAGGCGGTGGGGTTAATCTGACTGTTCTGCCCTGCAGCCAGGCTTCTGTTTGCAGCATTGCTCCTATTCCCAGACCRTCTCTCCTGTTTTCCTTCTCTTTCCCTTCAAACCTATCACTTGGGGCAAATACCTTTTTAGTAAAACCCCTTCAGAGGTCTGTTTCTTTGGCAGGTCAAAATGCCTTGTGATAAAACATCTCCCACATGGGGATGTGGACTGAACACAARAGGTTTGGGGGAGATAGAGCCAGCCCTGAAAAGTGCAGTTGTGGCAGGATTTTCCAGCAGTCCCAGGCTTGCCCAGGGCCCTGTTCCTACAGGCTGCTCATGCAGGGCTCCACAGCGGCTCTGTGGGGCAGGAGCCTGCAGAATAGATTGCAGTGAAGGAACTGTGTGACACATGGCTGCTTCTGGGCATGGAAAGGGGGAGCCAGTGAGAGAGATGGGAACGCATCTGCATTACCAGTAACTTCGGTGTGCTCCCACTGATCCTGTCATAGAGGATCCCACATTCAGGCTGGCTGTGCTGTGCTGCTCCTTAGCCTGTGCCCTCAGAGTGGGCAGGATGSATCCTGCTGGAGTGGGAGGGCAGARKGGGTKYAGCCAACACTGTCAGAAATGCCTGTGCTCTTCCAGCAACTCTCCAGACCCACCTTCTTCGCCCGCAAGTTTGAGTCGACGGTGAATCAGGAGGTGCTGGAGATCCTGGACACGCACCTCTACGGCAGCTACCCCCCGAACACACCGGCCCTCAAGGCCTACTGGGAGAATGTCTACGACCGTGTTGATGGGCTCAGTGGCCTCAGCGATGTCACCCTCACCTTCTACACAGCCTTCTCCAGGCTGGGGCTCCACAAAGCTGCATCCACACCGGCAGCCAAGGCTGACAAGCTCTGCAGGTGGGGTATTTGCTGTGGTCTCAATCCAGGCTCCAGGTGGTGGCCTTCTGCTGGGAGGATGCTGATGCTCAGATGTGCAATCTCTCTTTGTCTCTCCAGATTTGAGCCTCGAGGCTTCCCCTCCAGTGTGCACTTATATTTCTATGACGACCGTTTCCAGGGCTACCTGGTGATGCAGGAAGTGCAGAATTTGGCAACTGGGCAGGCAGAGTCCTTGGAGGTGTGGATGATGCCCCAAGGAGCTCTGAAGCTGTCAGGCCATGGAGGGCAGGCAAACCGCTTGCAAAACCTTGAGGTAAATGGGGCACTTTCCACCCTGGCTTTCCCACACCTTTTTGCCCTTCYTCCTCTCCCTGACCTGCATGCCACTGGGACAGAGAGACACAGTGCTACTGTTGCATCTGAGAACAAACCTTCAGGATTTTGGTTTCTTTGTGTCAAGCTGGTCATTGTAGAGCGGGCCTGCAGGGGATCTTTCAGGGGCAGCAGAGGCTGCAGTGCCCAGTGCCTGCAGCTGCCAGACGGCTTTCACAGCTGAGTTAGAGCTGCCGTATGATCCATGCAGGGTGGGCTGTCCATTGCTTGGACTCCAAGGTTTATATGTTCTCTGTTTTGGGGAGGTGAAACAAAACTCCAGCTGATAGTGTCTCCTTGCCCAGTGTCTCCACTGCTTGTGTCTCCTGTCCCTCCAGGTGGGCACGGAGTGGGACCCCAAGGAAAGACTCTTCCGCAATTTTGGAGGCCTGATGGGGCCTTTTGACGAGCCGGTGGCCATGCAGAAGTGGTCCCGGGGCCCCAACCTGACAGCCACGGTGGTGTGGATCGACCCCACCTACGTCATTGCCGCCTCCTACGACATCACAGTGGATGCAGAGGCAGAGTTCACCCAGTACAAGCCCCCCCTCAATCACCCCCTGCGCCCTGGCATCTGGACCATCCGCCTCCTCCAGTTCTGGGAGCCTCTGGGGGAGAACCAGTTCCTGGTGGTGCCCCAGACCTTCAACCGCAAGCAGCCTCTCAGGAAAGGTGAGGATGCTCTGAAGTTTGGGGCTGGCTGGGAGGGTCTCTCTCTATGAGCAGTCCAAAGCTCTTCCTCCTGTGCTGGCCCTTGGACTGCAGCTGGTGACCAGGCAGGAGCCCTCCTTCCACTGGTGTCCCCTTCCCCATATGAATCCTTATACTGGRCTGTTCCCTGGTCAGCTGTGGTGGGCTTGTTGGCAGGTCAGTCARGTCCTTCCTGCAGCAACATCCTTTTGCTTTGTGCTGGAGGGGAGCTGGGRTTGCATAGAGATGGAGTGCTGTGCCTCAGCAGAGTGGGGATAGGACCTGTAAGAGTGCCAGAACATTGCTGCAGTGCTCATCCCCTCTCTCTTCTCTCCCTGTCCTGCCCAGATGACAGCAACTGGCTGCATGGTGGCCCCCCACGCAATGAGTACATGGACCAGAACTTCCAGGGCCTGGGGGGGATCCTCAACCTGCCGCGCTCCGAGGCGGCGGAGGAGGACGCGGTGCAGAAGGCGCGGCTGACGGGCAAGGAGCTGGAGGACTGGGCAGATGCTGCCATCAGCACCTTCTGGACCRCGGCAAACGTCTGTGTCAGCAGCCCCTCGGCCTGCATATCCCTGGAGATCTGCAGCAAAACCTCCTGGAGCTCCCTCTCCCCGGACCCCAAATCGGAACTGGGGCCTGTCAAACCYGACGGGCGGCTGAGGTAGCAGGAGCAGCCGGAGGGCTGCTTTGGGAGCAAGGAGCATCCTCCATTTCTGCTGTGGGGGGTGTCTCTGGACTACATCACCCTGTGCCATTTGCACCGTAGTCACTCGAGGAAAAGAAAACAGGAACCTCCAGGCAGGGGAAAACCTCCTGTGGGGTATTTTGGRCAGAGGGAGGGGCATGAGGTGGGTCTTGCCCATCTCCCCAGGAATGAGTCCTTGTTGGCCAGGGAGAGCATGCTAGAGTGCTCATCCCTATGAGGGCATGGCCGGTGCCTGGGAAGAGCTGTGTGTTTGTTACTCCAGGCCTTGGAGCCTCAGGAAAGGGTGATGTGGGAGGGAGGGAGGGAGGGATGGCTGGTGGGTGGGCAGGCTCTGGACCAGCTCAGCACTCTGCCCAGCCCCGGGCTAGAACCTGGCACCATGAGCCCTTGGTACTGGCTGCTGCCCTAGTGGGCTGACAAGGGACTGGGGACAGGCAGAAGCTGAATGGGTCAAAACCTGCCATGTGCACAGAGCTGCTGCTGGCCCAGGGCTTGCATCTCATCCCTTCCACCCCAGCCCTTTAGTTTGTATTTTTATAAATATATATATAGAAATATATATATGATGCAAAGTGCAATAGAGACGAGACCCCGCATTGGCCGGGAAGTCCTTGTGTCTCCATCTCCCCTCAGACTGTAACATAYCTTGTTCTCTTGGGTGTCCTGGTGCTGCAGGACAGGGTGCTGGGTCGTTTACATATTTTTWTTATTATTAWTWATTATTATTATTGTTTTGCCATTTGCCCATTTCCTGCTGGGGGCTGCTGGCGACCTGTAGCCTGCTGGCCTGGGGCAGGGYTGCCCCCAGGTTGTGGGGCAGCTGCCCAGCTGTGCCAAACGTCTGGAGCCCTGGTGTGTTGTGTGACAGTGAGCGGGGTGTGTGGTTCAAGTCCAAAAAKCCGCTGTAGACCCCGCCACTTCTGTCTCCACTTCAGCAAAAGGACGCCCTGATTCCCTGCCAAAATATCATCCAYGGGGCCGACGTCCTGCTGCGGATGAGCCGTGCCTGGAGAGCTGCCCCGTGCCACAGCTTCCTGGCCCGACCTTTWMTTTTCTCCT